AATATCATCAGCAAAAAGCACCCACCATGGTACAACATCTTACAAATGCCTAGTGAGAACATTCATAACTAAAGCAAAAAAGATATGAGCTTAAGGTTGATCCTTGATGCAATCCAACTGAAATAGGAAAATACTTGGTCAAATCATCTCGTGTCTGAACACAAGTAACAACTGATGCATACATATTCTTAATGACTTGAATCTAAGCATTATTAACCCCTTTCTTTTCTAGAACTCTCCATAGCACGTCTATTGGAACTTTATCATATGCTTCCTCTAAATCAATAAATATCATATATAGATCCTCCTTATTCTCTCTATACTTCTCCATCAAACCTCTCAATAAATACATAGCTTCCATAGTAGACCTACCCGGCATGAATCCAAATTGATTTTGAGAAATGTTAGTATCAAGCCGTGACCTATGCTCCATAACTCTCTCCCATAATTTTAAAGTATGACACATTAACTTAATTCCTCTATAATTCGCACAATCTTGTGCATCACCTTTATTCTTAAAAATATGAATCAACATACTCATTCTCCACTCATCTGACATCTTTTTAGTCTTCAAAATAATATTAAAAAATTTAGTAAACCAAGAAATTCCTTCATCTCCTAAGCATTTCTACACCTCTATTGGAATATCATTAGGTCCAACAGCTTTTTCACACTTCATTTTCTTTAAAGTCCAACTTCTATTTACTAATATGCCAAGATTATTAAAATCAATCGCATTCCCATAATCTTTATTGAAGTGTTTATAAAAATACCTCATCCACCTTTGATGAATATCTTCTTTTAATAAAAAAAAAATTTTGATCTTCGTCCTTAATATACTTCACTTGAACTAAATCCTTACTTTTATCTATTTATTTGGCTAACTTATACATATATATTTCGTTTTCCTTAGTATTCAATCTATTAAATAAATCATTAAAAGCTAAAATCATTATATCGCATATTACTATCTTTCCCAATTATCAGAATTTTTACATTTAAACCAATTTTTATAATAAATCTTCTTATTTTTTATGTTTTCTTGAATATTTTGATTCCACCACCAACTATTTTTACCATTAGAGATTTTCCTTTTGATAATACAAGCACATCTTTTGCAGCATGTTTAATATCATTAGCTACTTTGTTTCAGAAAATATTAGCTTTCTCATGCACAGATAAAATCTTAAGATCTAATATCTTACTCACAACGACGGCGATTAACAACGATGGGGTGGCCAGGAGACGGCAAAGGTGGGTGGAGGCGACAACCAACAAAGGCAGTGGGTGGCTGGCCAGTGGCGATCAAGCAAGCTTGCTTGTGGTGTAAATGATTCTCGCTCAAAATTGGACAAGTTTGCTTTACTTCAAAAATGAAGTAAAATGGTTTACACTATATTTACTTTACTTTGCATTCCTTTTTCATACAATTAAACACCAATATTTTCAAAATGTTTGCATTTGGAATACTTTACACCACTTTATATTCCAACCAAGTAGCCCCTAAGTTAATTTCTTGAAGTCTCCAATAAGAAACCTTTCTAGATTTAAGCAAACCTTTACAATATCTTCTAATTGAGATTTTGCATGGTTCATGTTTATATTATAATTGCATGATTAATTTTTAATTTTTTCAAATCACTTCATGCAAATCATTTGAAAAGATATGAAGAAAAAATGAAAATATTAAAATTCCAATGTGTCATAAAAGATATAAATGATTTACAACCTAGTCCTATATAAGAAGATGATAAAGGAAATTGAAAACATAAAAGTTACACAAATATGAAATACATAGATGAATGAATAACTTCCTTAAAAAAAGATAGCCCAAATAAGCTCAAGTTCATGAGAAGTTCAAAGGCAGGTATAGATTCAAACTCCACAGAATCAAAAGAATATAATTGCAATTGCAAATCTTCATCTATTTCATCTTCAATAGGATATTCACGAACTACAATTTTCTTAGTAGGATTATAATTGAGTACACATAATTCAATTATCACCATAGGTTTGATGGGCATGATAGGAGAAGATAATGATTCTCTAAAGGGACTACAGGTAAAGTATCGCTAACAAGTTATTTATAATATGCCTCAATATTCAAAGATCTGATTAATGCCTTAGGATTCTAGATAAATTGCGGCCCACGGTGGCCCTAATTTCTTTCCTAAGATCTTTTTAAAAAGCACATGGTGAAAACAAACTAGTTTTGAGGAAAATCAAGTTTACCTGTAAGAATTGTAAAGTTATCAAAATATTCTGACACATTAGGCATATTTTGTCCACAAAACATAAAAGTGGTTCTTCAATTGATCGCAATATTCTTTGTATGCATACATTGTTCTTTAAGTTTATGTTTTAGGTTAGCAATTTTATATTTTAGTTCACGTGCAATGCCATATCAAACCTATTTAGCACGACTTACTAGTTTATATTTAGAACATTCATGTTTTTCAAAATAAGATAACTAGTAATAGCAAAAAAAAGTCATCCATATTAAGTATTCAACCTGAAAAATCCTCAAGACTATATCTCCCATCAAATGTAAGAATATAATTTAGATCTTCATGATAGTTACAACGTATTCTTTTAGGAACATAACTTACCAATTTTTGTTTTTGTTGCATTTTTTTACTAGTTTATTTGATTGGCACAATAATTATACCCTACATCAATTAATATGATGATAGAAACGTATGCTTTGATACCAATTTGATATAGGAAGGATGAGCATCTGAGTTCCAAATGCAACCTATAATGAGATGCATGATGTAAAAATAAAAAACTTCACAATCAACGAGCTATTATTTCATAATTTAGAAAAAATTTCACACTTTACTGTAATTACAACAAACACATTTAATTCATTCCACAAGATAAATATGAAATTTCTACAACAAACTATAATCAACAATAGATTAAAAAACCAACCAAGTTCATGTTTAAAAAAAAAAGACGCATATCTTACATGGATACATTGCAGAGTGTTAGAGCCTTGTGGACAAGCAGCTTAGGTAGAGCCATTTGACAAGGCCGTGTCAAGGACATGGGATGGAGGAAGGCGTGCCCAAGGACTGGTCTCATGTGGCGAAAGGACAAGCATGGGAAATGCAAGCTTGGCATGAAGAGCAGCGACAAGCACGCATCAACAGCAACGAGTGAGTACGGCGTGGCAGGGGCATAGGAGGTCTTCTTGTCTGTGGTGAGTGTTACAACACAAGAAAAAGATGAGCAGTACGAGTTCGATGACATTTATAGGCTATGACGAGAAAGGAGGGCTGCAAGAAGGATCTAAGGGGTAGCACACGAAGGAGTCAATTGAGGTGAATGTGCAAAGGAGATCACCAGTATGCACAAACGTGAAGTAATCATGAGCAGAAGTATGTTGCAGTCAAAGAGAAAGTTACATGGGAAGAAATGTCATTGGGATGAAAAAATTAAAGATGAGGCAAATATCATGAAAATGAGGAGGCGGGTGTAGGGTCAAAGTTGACAAGCATGAGGCACGAGCATGTCGAGAGCAATGAAATTATTGAATGTGACCGGAAAGACCTCAAAAAGCGTGAATAGTAGGTCCAACAGACACGGGAGTTAATCAAGGCTTTGATACCAAATTGTTGTAGACAATGGGAAACTAGAAAGTAAATAATGTATTAAGGAAGATGAATCTGAAATTGGAATAAGAAAAAAGAGTAAACAAATCCATTGTCATTAATTATCCAAAAATGATAAATAAATCTAATAAAAAAAATTCTTTCCTAATTTAAATAAAATAAAATCTAAAATATTGAAAAATAAATCTAAACTTTCTTGTGCCGCATCAAGTTGATGCTTTTTTTTGCCACCTGGCTTTTGAACAAACATTAAAATTTATTTTTTACATGCAAATTTCACTTAACAAACTATTAAACACGCTACCCCACTACTATCAGGACAATTAGTATAACCAAATTTTAAATTTATGAAGTAGGAAATCTAAGAATAAACAATTGTCATATAAAGCTCAATGAAATGATTTAACATATAGAAATGAGCTACCTGTCGTGCATCTTTTTTTTTTTTTTTTGTGCATCATATATCAATAAGAGTATATGATCAAAAATCATGAGGAACATTCAAAAGTTAGTTTTAGTATAAACGAAATAATACTAGGAAAAAAATATAAAATATTAAATAAAAAAAAAAGAGTAGAGACATTTATTTTCCCAATGAAATTGACTAATTTTAATCATCAATCTCTCCTTTTACAAAAAAATTGTTTGGTTTGTTGCATTATTGGTGTGAAGTAAATCAAACGCCGTTTTAAAATATTGATTGTTTGATAGGTTGCATTTCAAATGCAATATAATTCATCAATGAAGTTAGAATTCCCCTTCTAGTTCATTTTTTATGTATTCAAAAATCGGACAATTTTCAGATACATTGTAAATTCTCCACCACTTACTCATAAGCTGTCACTGCAGCAACACACTACCACCGTTCCCCGTCGGTCGTTGCCTCCATAGATTTAAATTTGTAATATCTCGATTTGTTTTATGTGGGAAACCGGTAAAACAAACTTTAAACTGCTAGTGCACCACCACCCGCACATTATCTCTAAGAGTGGTAATGAATGTTTCACATAACATAGCTCAGTAGCAGCATAGGATTACCAAATGAATCAAAGGCCTAAACTTGAGAAAAAGAGTTCACCCTCAGCCATGAGCACTTCCTTTCTCACTCAAACCCTAAATTGGTATTCATTCTTGTTTTTATCTGTGTGTATACTATCATTCATCATATTCTTGATTAACATGCATCAAGGTTACGATGGCAAAGTGATTGACTGGTATGGTCCTTGCCCTCTAAAGGATAGGTCAATAATCAAAACCCTTCAAAGAAAAGAAGAAGAAGAAGAAGACCCAGCAAGCGTTTAGCTCAATTAGTTGTCACTGATATTCCTAAGCAAAAAATGAAAAATGCACTGAAAGACCAAAAGATAGGCTTTGATGAATTACCTTCCATTGTATTTACAATTTGCTTGTTGTAGCTCGACATTTCCGTCGGCTAAATAACATCCACATTTGTGTCCACAGGAAAAATTAAAATGTACGCTGCTTCTCCTCGCCCCCTACACACTCCAATCTTCTTTTCCTACTTACTTTTTCTTCAATATCCAGCGCCCATCGAAAAACCGCAAGATATACCGTTCCTAAAACACAAAATTTGTAGTTAATACATAATTTGTGTGCGCAAAATGCACGGTTTTCTTCAACACTTAACCATAGACACGACCAATAAATGAATCAAAACTTACAGTCAATTGTAAAGGTTAAAATTTTCAAATTCAGAAAGAATTCAAAGAGAAGGGCTAAAAATATTCAACCACAGCGCAAATTAAGATAACTAAACAGCAGCGTGAAAAAAAAAAGTGTAGGAGAGACAAGAAGCCATCATCACCTCGTGCCTGCAACAAGAATCGGCAGAAAAGAAAAACCAGTGGAAGCCAGCCCAGCAAACAAAATTATTGAAATAAAGCCACACATTCGCTTTCAATTCTTCTGAATTCAAGCTCCACACCAGGATCAAATCTACAAGACAACCACGGTAACCCCAATCTGGGGCTCAGATCGAAGACGAGGCCATCTCGAAGAAACCCTAACGACGAGAATTTTGGGGTTTAGAAAGAAATTGACCACTTTCCATCATCTTCGTTTTCTTTTCTTTTCTTTTTTAAAAAAACAAGTGGGCCGACGACTGCAGCCGACTTGTACAATTTAGTCGCAATAAATTACAATAACTGCCACTGAGGTAGTAGTTAGTAATTTCGGCTTTCTTTGTCGATCAGTACAGCGGTATTATACTAGTACATGAGCCGTTCATCAATTTATCATATCGCGAAATAAACGCGAGAAGAAATGATGAGGGCCGACTGCCGCCAACGTTATTATTATAATTTTATTTTATTTTTTTACCACGCAAAATAAATTTAATTATTACATAAATAAAGTAACGGGCCGGCAGGAATTGTGGGCTGTACAAATGACGAAATTGTTTAAAATAATTATATTAATTAATTTAATATAAAATTATGTAGAGCTCCTCATGAGGAACTTTTAATTTATCCAGTGAACGTACGCAGAAGAAGGTTCGATTTTAGGCAAAAAAGCGTTTGTACTGAGTTTTTTCAAAAAACTCGGTATAGGCTCGAAAAACTCGGTACAGGCGCTTTTTGGCCTAAAATCGAACCTTCTTCTGCGTACGTTCACTGGATAGAATAAAAAGCCCCTCATGAGGGGCCGGTAAGGCTACCCCAAAGGACAACTTTTTTTTAAATAAAAAATTTGTAAAGGACTAAAGGAACCTTAAACCTAATAGTTGAAGAAATGTGTTTCAATGATGTCACTAGTTTAAGTTATATATTTTGAAATTTTTTTCTTTTAATTAAAAATATTGAAATCTTATCCTTTTAACTTATAATATACCAAGTGTGGTAAGATTTTTTAAGTAAAAAAAATGTGTATTATTTTGAATTAAAAATTTTATATTTTTAAGTGGTTAAATTTTAATGTAACCTAATTTTTAAATTTATGAGAATAATTTTACTTAAAAAAAATTTACAAAAAACTTAAAATGTCATACAAAGTAAAGTAATCAATGAGATTTCATAGTTTTTCTTTCAAAATGATCAAAAAGTCATGTATAATATATGAAAAGTTACATGGTGAGAATTTCCTCAAACCTCTTATATTTATTTTTTGACAATTGTTAACTCAATAAAATACTCAAATTAAAAACTTAAGTAGGGTAATAGTAGTCTATCTTGAGGCAAACAATATTCTCAACTAGCCCAATAAATAAAAATAGCTTCGCCACTGCCAAAATTATTACTCTTATGACAATGAATTTGCAACCCAGTAAGCACAAAAGTAGCATCAAGAACTTATTTTTCTTCTGAAAAATAGATAGCTTGCATTGTAGCTCCTCTCGCCACAACGCTGCAACACTCCAAATGATTTTTCCTAGAATTGGCCAGTATTCTCCTTTTAATTCTAGACTATCATAAATATGAGTTGGAAAATTAACATAAAACATGATTAATATTCAAACGTGGATTTTCAATAACTTAAAAACAAATGAATATAAGATGTTAAAATTTTTGTTTAGGTGATCGTTACAGCATAAGCTCGTAGCTCAAAGCCAACTTCATTCTCAAGATAAGATCTTATGTTCAAGTTCTTAATATGTATTTTATTGAAAGACTTAAAAAACTAAACTCTTTTGTAAGCCTTAGATGCTAAATGTTATTCATCATGACAACTATATTTTTTTGAATTTCATATTGACATTTATTATCATACAATGAGTGCAAGCTTTATGAAGTGTTTCTATAAAAATGGTTAATAAAGCACTTGCAACATTATTATATCTATCATATACAAATATCAACTTTTTCAATGTGTCTATTGAGTATTGACTCCCTCAATATGGTCATAAATTATGGCCATGATATATTATTTTATGAGTCTAGTACTACAAATATCACTGGATAAATTTGAGCGTTGACATCTTGCACCATTGCCATAAGCAAAGTACCTCCACAAAAGTGAACTTAAATGTTCAATCTATGCTTAACATTGAGTGGCATATAATTTTAAATCATTAAACACAAATACCTAAATTAAGATATACATAATACATCATTTACTATCATGTTGAAGATCAATATTTATCTTGAGAATTTTCTTACGTAGCATAATTTAATAAGACGGTGACTTTCGAAATGATGCTTTGGGGGATGCTCTCACATAAATGATAGCCTACTCACAACATCACCAAGCTTTCTTGTCGGAAAATCAATATCATATTTAGGGGCTATGATATTGAGTTTGAAAGTTTCTTAGAATGCAAACTCCATGAGCATTTCTCTAACGAGCTATGGTATACTATACTTACCCAATTTCTTCAACTTGAATTGAAAGTTCTTTTTCATTATATATCAACTCCTCATTGCTCTCAAAAAATTGTTCTACTTATAATTGAATACCGAACAAATTGAAACATGATGCCATTATATTAGTAGTCAGTTAACTAGAGCTAGTTTTAGCATATGGGAGTTTTTTGATGAATGTTTCTCCAATTTGTATATCTTATTTGAATTCTTCTTCATTCAATATAAGAAAATATCGATGCTTTTATCATAAAATAAATCCATTAATCTATAATTTCATTGTCTAATCAAATCATATTCAAATATATATTCATATTATATTGTTAAACACATGAATCAAATAATAATAGTACCTTATTTAAACAAATTTGTTAAAGCATGAACACAAACCATATTTGAACTTTATTCAATCAATGATCAAATAAGGTTCAATCATGTTTTGAGCAACGATTGAACACGATAGTCTTTGATAATTTTGAACCATGTTCGATCATGGTTGAGATAGGATTCAAACACAACTCAAACATATATTTCAATAAGTATTAAAATACATTATTTGATAATCTATCTAACTCAGCGTTAGATCTCAATCAAAATGACCTAATTTACTATATATAAACAACAACAAAAATAGTACTTGTATTATAAACATGTTGATGAAAAAAGAATTATCCAACTTCATCGATGTAATTATTCTTGAGCAAAGAAATATTGGATGAAGTCAAAATGATGACTATGATGTAAATAACTGAAGTGGGAAGGGCAAGGCATCATTCTTTATATATATATATATATATATATATATATATATATATATAACATGTGTATTTTGATTTGAATAAAGATTTTGTGTATATTTGTCACAATCCAACCCAATATAACCGACAGGTAAAATATGTCATATCATGTTGAATGGTGACAGACAAAGCTGAAGATCTAATTTTGGAGAACTTTTTAGATTTATTTAATTATAAATATATAAAAGAACTACTAATTAATTTCCAATAAATAGAAAATATACTCATACATAATTTTTCCTTTTTATTTATCTTCAATATATATATATATATATACATGGCTACAACAAAAACAGAGCAAAGCATAACATATAATAGTCGTGACTGTACAATTTGTGAAAACTAGGAAAATATCTATTTGGACTTAGACATATCAGATCTTGCAACGTTAGCTACTCAATCTAGTACTCCTTTCCCTTATCCTAACCTAACACAGAATGCATAATCGGTATCAGCCCAACAAAGGTTGGTAAGTCACATCGATTAATCTAAATTTTTAATGCTTAACCCAACATTTTTTTAACTATATCAGAAGCAATTAATAATAGGCTATTGTATTGAATAGAGTAATATTAACATATAACATAAATGAAATAAATTTTATATAAAATATAAATAAGTAAGTACTTCATATATTATAGGAGAAAATATCAAAAGTTTTTTAGGCTTTTATACCTCTCAAAAGAAACATATATCAGAATCCACACCATTATGACTCCATGTGCTAGCATATCATAAAACAGACTTTTATAACTCCCAAATGCTTAATGTAAGATTTTCAAAAACTCATACCCTTATAGCTTCAGATTTATTCAACACAACAAAACTTATTATTGCTTCCAGAACGTGTCAGAATCACACATTTCAAGCAGATAAGTGTATATATAATTAGATTTCAATAAAAAATGAAAATGATCAAAAGAGGAAATTCATAGAATGCAATACCAATAACCAAAAGATTCAATAAATGAGCAATTTTTTTCTAAATTATAAGAGATTACTCAAAACATTATTTTGAACCATTAAATGTAGTAAAATATTATTTTTAGGTTAGAATTTGTTTCTAATTGTCCTTAATTGGTTGATTGGTTGTTAATTATTCAAGAAATATTTATAGAATGCTATGATGATTTCAATAGACAACACCATACTATTACATACTGGAGTATTTATGACAAAAGAGATGGAAAGAGTTTAATATCATATCTTTGTACAGAGATCTAACACGTACACACAAATAAAAAAGGTTATTATAGACAACAAAGTTTATATGTAAAAAGTTTAGACATGGAAAAAAAATTATGTCACCTAAATGAGCCAAAATGATGCATAATGTAAGTGATATCATGTGAGTCTACTCGTTCACTCAATATAAGGAGTTTTCTGGTGAATGTTCCACCAATTTGTATTTCTTATTTGAATTATTCTTCATTCAATATAAGAAAATATCGATGCTTTTATCATAAAATAAATCCATTAATCTATAATTTCATTGTCTAATCAAATCATATTCAAACATATATTCATATTATATTGTTAAACACATGAATCAAACAATGATAGTACCTTATTAAAACAAAGTTGTTAAAGCATGAACACAAATTTTATTTGAACTTTATTCAATCAATGGTCAAATAAGGTTCGATCATGTTTTGAGCAACGATTGAACACGATAGTCTTTGATATTTTTAAACCATGTTCGATCATGGTTGAGATAGGATTCAAACACAACTCAAACATATATTTCAATAAGTATTAAAATACATTATTTGATAATCTATCTAACTTAGCGTTAGATCTCAATCAAAATGACCTAATTTACTATATATAAACAACAACAAAAATAGTACTTGTATTATAAACATGTTGATGAAAAAAGAATTATCCAACTTCATCGATGTAATTATTCTTGAGCAAAGAAATATTGGATGAAGTCAAAATGATGACTATGATGTAAAAAGCTAAAGTGGGAAGGGCGAGGAATCATTCTATATATATATATATATATATATATATATATATATATATATATTGCTTCCAGAACATGTCAGAATCACACATTTCAAGCAGATAAGTGTATATATAATTATATTTCAATAAAAAAATGAAAATAATTAAAAGTAGAAATTCATAGAAAGCAATATCAGTAATCAACATATTCAATAAATGAGCAATTTTTTTCTAAATTATAAGAGATTATTCAAAACATTATTTTGAACATTTAATTGTAGTAAAATATTATTTTTTAGGTTAGAATTAGTTTCTAATTGTCCTTAATTGGTGGATTGGCTGTTAATTATTCAAGAATTATTTATAGAATGCTATGATGATTGATGATTTCAATAGACAACACCAGACTATTACATGCTGGAGTACAACAACATCAAGCCTTTATCCTACTACGTGGGGTCGGCTACATTTGTTAGATCTCTGTACAAAGATATGATATTAAACTCTTTATTTCTCTTTTGTCGTAAATACTCCAGCATGTACTAGTTATTGTTGTTGTTGTTGTAAAAAGTTTAGACAGGGAAAAAATTATGGTACCTGAATGAGCCAAATGATGCATCATGTAAATAATATCATGTGAGTTTACTCTTTCACTCAATTGGAAAAGACGAGGGGAAAAAGTTGGGAATGCTAGATTGATCTCTAATGACTATAAGAAGATATTATTATAAAAGTTGTGGAGGGTGATGATTTTATACAATGTTGATTGAGTGATGGTGATCAATTCTTAAAAAAGTGCATATGTAGGAAAATGTACATTGGACCATAAATTCGATACAAGTTGGAGCTTTTACACGAATGATCATCATAAACATCATAATCATACCACGCGAGACTGGCACCATTGTGGTCTCTTGAAAAACTTATACCATTATGACTTTTGGGTAAAATACATTGACCAATAATTCATTATAGCTTCTACAATAGCTATTAGTTGGCACATCTAAAATTGAAGTTAGTTCAATTATTTACCATCATTTGGGGTTGTTTGGCTAGACGATTTAAGTGGGATTTGAAGAAAATTTAGCGTAAATTCTGCCAAACAGGATATCGATTCGGCATAAATCTCACGGTGGAATAAATGCGCCGTTATCACCTTTCTTGAATAAATTCCAAATTTGCTAAATTCAGGAGTTCGGCGGATTTATGGGATTTGGACGAAGAAGCGCGCAAATCGAAGAAAATGGTTATCTTTGCAACGCTCCCTCCCTTATATCGTTGTCATTACTTTCGACCCAACAAAAGAACGATGAGTTGTCGTGACTTTTGACCCAACAGAAAGGAACGTCGTCGAAGGAGTTGAAGAAATCTTTTATCGACTCGTTCAAAACTTTAACTCACGTGCGAAGCTGATGAAGTTGAACAGGTACGAACAACTAGAGAAATGGAAAAGGCAAATCCTAGGCCTACCAGTACCACCACAGCAGGATAGAGCTCATAAATTCTTGAAATTGGTGGCCATTACATTGGCAAATAAGTATTATAGGAATTAATTAATTTGATTAAACTAATTTAATTAAAATTAATAAAAAAATATAAATTACTTAATAAATAATTAATTAATAACTTTTTTAATTTTAAATTATATTATTTGTAATAATTAGTTATTAATGATAATTAAAATTTAAATATTAATAATTAACTTATAAATAATTTAGAATATAATTAATTAAAATTAATAATCAATTTCATAATTAAACTATTTTTAATTATATCATTTTTATAATTGTAATTTATTGACGATAATAAAATTTGAAATTAATAGTTATACTCTTAAATCCTAAATGACATTGCAAAACTATTCCATAGAATTTAACGGGTTTTAACCCTTAACTTATCAAATAATTTTCCTGATTTAATAGCTCGAGGATTTATTAAATTCAAGATTTAAATAATTTATTAAATCCTAAATAGTTAAATCTGGTTGGTTGCCAAATAAGCTTTAGGATTCGTTTGGGACGGCGTTATTATTATTTCTTAAAGCAATTTTTTAGAACAAAAATTAAAATTTTTATACTTAAAAATTACTTTAAAAAACAGTAAAAAAATCGTCCTAAACGAAATCTTAATGTTCTTAAATTTCTGCAAGATTATACGGTTCTCAAACTTAAAAAAAAAAAAAACCAATACTAGAAATTACAAAATGGTGTTCTAGTAAAAATTGTATGCCAAGATAACTAGTGTGATTGAAGGATTCAATAATATCATTAAATGAAACGTTTGGATAAATATTTCGGTGGAAATCCTCTCTTCATTAAAACAAAACAGGTCCACAAATCGGCGTAACCCTACTCTCAGTTTCTCTTTTTCCGATCCCTTGGTAGACATTCTCACCATCGGGCCGCCATGCTACAGTCAGGCCTTCTATTGTGGCCATGTTCTGCAACTCTAGGTTCTTCTTCCTCTTCTTCTCCTCCTCCTCCTCCTCCTCCTCCTTAGTATTTCAGCTTTTTCTACTCCTGTTGTCTGTCTTGTTTGCTTTCTATTAATTATTTCCTTCTTCAACTTCTGTATTACTTACTCTCAAGCAATACTTCTTTACTCTTTTCTCGACATTGAACTGCTTATGAGATCTATTTCTGCAATATGTTTGTATTTTGTTGCCTTGCCTGGGTTTATTGTATTTTAGTAATTTTTTTTTGTTCTGCAGTTTGTTGATGTTGATAGTGTAATACTAAATTCTAGAAAAGTGTTTTGGTAGCATGTTTTGTTATTTGATAAGGTTTTGCATAAAAAAAGCTTTTTGTTGAAATAAATTTCATATTTATAAAGGAGTGAGCTTCGCTTTGCTTAATGCTTTTCACTTGGATGTGATATACATGGAATTCAATTTGCAAGTTGTTGCGCTTTGAAAACATAGATTCCAATCGAGATTAATAGCAAAGTAACGCTGGTTTAAAATGGGCAAAAATAGCTGAAGTAGCGCTTTGCATTAGACCTTGTGGTGGTTAATGGCAGCTTAGTTTACCCTATTAGAATTTGATGCTGCTAAATACTGTATCGGGCATTGCTTTTATTTATTTCTTATCTATCTGAATCCTCTCTTTCATAGCCATCTTCTTTCATTATTAGTGTCATGCATGATACGTGGTTTTAAGGGTGGCCTTGATTGCAAGTTTAGACAGATATATCAATTTATCAAACCCTCTTTAGATGTTGGAGTTGAGTGTGTTAAGAACGGACAATATTGGGTTGTCCTGCATCAAATAGCTGAAAAAATAAGCAATTGTAAAAATATAAGTGGTTGGCCGGCTATTTCAATCCTTTTTTGGTTTCAACCCCCTAACAGCGGGAGAACTTGTTCATCTGGTAAACATCCATCTTTGGGTTTGAAATCACTCTGAACAACCTGTAGTCCTCTTGAAGCCATAGTTGAATCGTTGCTTATTTGTTGTCATGTCTAACTTTTGCTAGTTTTATCTTTATGATGATAGTATTAGCCCTTCAAAGTATGATTGCTTGCAATTTTTATTTATTTATCTTTCGAATAGGCGAAAATAATTGGTTTGCTGATACTTATAGAACTTTTAACTGTTTTTTCGGCTCTCTTTATCATGTATATGCAAACTAATTTCTATGAGATGAAGTAGTTAAATCAAATAATTAGATGCAAATGGTTTCTTTCACATTGGGTGCCTGACTATAAACTCTTCTGTTACAGGTTATGTCACATTCAAACAGTTTTGCCATAATAAAGCTCCAGTTTTCTCAAGAAAAATTGCTTTAGGTTTGACTAATAGACACTCAGTTTCTGAGATTGCTAAATGTAACAGTTCATCATCCTCTGGTGACACTTCCCAGGATTCTAATGGTTATTCTGACAAGGAAAAGGTGTGTATATGAAGTCATTGACGCTATGGAGTATGCAGCTTCATTTTTATTTGAGATGCAAGGATGCACAATTGGTTATGGCATTCATTCTTATCTTAGATAAAACCTAAGAATACTTCCTCCTAGAAATTATGTACCATCTGTTATTTTCTTTTCTATTATTTAGAGTTATTACTTTAGATAATTACATGCACGATGTTTCTAATTCCATTTAATAAGTACTTAGTGTAGTAACTTAAAATTTCTGCTCATACTTTATGTACTTATTAATTAAAATTGCTGCTTTAGAAAAATGCCTTATGAGTTTTGCAGCTTTTGTGACTTGAGTGATTGCAGCAGTAAAAGAATCGGTTTTTTTTACAAAGAAGTGAAGTAGTTGACCAAATATTTCAAATGAAAGAAAATAGTGCAAAGAGAATGAGCGTAGATTTTGGCTAATATATAAAACCAAACTGGGTTACCAAAAGCTTATCTTTTCTCCGTTATCATGATTGGTTGGCGAGAATGCAAGTTCTTCTGCTCCTTACCACAATTCAATGGGTAGAACTTGTTGAGATGAAGAGATGGGCCAACTTGCGTTAAAGGGTGTGATTTCTATGCCTCTGTTATGTTGTTTCTAGTGGTGGGAAACTGGGAATTGGGATTGTGACATTGCTTGATCAAGTTATTAAAAAGATTTTTGGATTTATTGTTCACAATGTGGTGAAATAGATGTGATTTTATTAGTAGAATTTAAGTTGGATGGTTGAAGTGGAGGAATGCATTGGGCCTATTATGTGATAGAAAAGTACGCCTCAAACTTAAGAGAAACTTTTATAAGTTGGTGGTGAAACCTACAATGATTTATGTTGCTAAATGTTGGCCATTAAAAGAGAAGCATAAAATTTAGTTAAGTGTTATAGAGATGAGGATGCTCAGGTGGATATGTGGCTTTACACTTAGAGATAAAATACAAAATGAGTAATACGTGAAAAGGTTGGAGTAGCTCTAATAGCATATAAGATTAGAGAGAATCACCTTTGATAGCTTGGTCATATAAAATATGGGCCTTCCGATGATCCTGTTAGGGGAGTAGGTTGTATTAGGAAAAGTTTGTTACTTCTACATAGATCAACTCCTCCAAGCAAGTTTGTGGAGTGTAACTGTAACGAAAATTTGGTCCAAACAAGTTTTTTTTTTTGCCACAAGTAGTCATAGCATTAAAGAGTACCCTGTGTTAGGAAAACTATTTAACTTTTATGCTGAAGCATTAACCAAGAGGGTATAATAAACCACAAAATAATAACATAAATGATCAAACATCATAAAAGAACAAATAAATTTATGTGGTTTGACAAAGGTTGTCTATGTCCCCAAGTAGTGTCAATATTTATGGGTAGCATCAACGCGGACTGCAACACGTTGCTTTGTTCTTGAATATCATTGCCTTCACAAGTTCTTAGATAGTGACATGTGTGAAATCAATGTAATCATAAGCAGGGTTTCTAACATGCTATTACGTTGAGCAAGATGACATCCATACGAGTGCAATGAGTGTCTATGTAGAGGAGAAATTCTATAAAGTTTTTTTTTTTAATTGTAGAGATAACCTTTAGACCGTGACTCTAACTAATTGAGAGCGTGAGGGTTGATGCAGACTCGAAGAAGTCGGCAATACAAACCTAGTGACTGCGGTTGTAGCTAGGTTGATGCAAACAAGCTAACATTGATGGCTACAAGTGGGTGTCAACTAGGTAAATGATGACATAAAATTCAGTCATTAGTGGAGGTTTTGTTAAAGGTGGTGCGGTGCTGTAGCGTCAACAGATTGAGTTTGGAGGATTTAAGGCCTTTTTTAGAACTTGATTCTTCTTCCAAATAATTTGCATTGAGGGACTATTCAAAACTTTTATGAGAAACATTAAGTCTTTATCCATAATTTTCTTTATAATCATCAATGACGAAAAATGAAGATCCCACTCTCCTATTATCAAGCCAGGATCATACAATGCTTCCTTATGTTTGACCTAACAAATTTCCCAGATTCGGGCGTCAACGATATCTCCAATTGGCCAAATATAACACATTGGAGGGCTACAATATCACATGCATTAGTGGTAATATATCAAAGTTTCGGCCATTGGATTGATGTTTTCTCAAGGTTCGTTGCCTCTTGAAGGGACCTAATGGAAATTGACAATAATGTCAGACCGCTTTTACATGGATCAACTCCTCCCTCTAAGAGGATCACTCAGAGCATTCTGTTCCCGATTTGAGCAACCCAAGCATCATGGACTCATTGCAATATGTCAGATCTTGCCTTGGAGATGTCTTGTTGTTCTCTGAGCTCGTCTATTCTCCTATTTAGCCAATTTGAGTAAAATCAGGCATCAGTTTAGTTTTAAATTTCATTGAGTTGCTTTGCTTTGGATTACGATTTGTGCTTGATTACACCGGGATAAAGAGCCACTAAAACACAAAAATCTATATTAACTGTTGTCATTTGCACCTCGTCTTCTGTAAACATGCTCTTCTCTTTCAGCCATTATTTCTTTAGGAACTTACCTGAAACATTTAAACTTGTGGTTTGAGTTTACTAAGTAAACTCAGTGGGTAACTATATAAATTTATATAAAAATATAATTTAACATATATTCTTTCCTTTCTTAATCTTGTTTATTTCAATTCATTAACTTAATACTTCTTCTTTGAATATTTTCATTTAAAATAATTTGGAACATTTGTTATCTTTAATATTTCATTTATATTTCCTTTTCCCATTTAATTTGCACAGGAGCACCGTCTCAAAGTACCTAAAGGTACAACCTTTTCCATTTAATTTCCTTTTCCCCATTTCCATAGAAATTTCCTTTTCCCTTTTTTTTTTTCGTGCACGAGTATGGCGTCCCCATCCAGTACTATAAGGGGGTGACTCCTGTCGTTTTCAATACCCTTTTCCTTTTTTTTTTCTTTTCTTTTCTTTTCTTTTCTCATTTTCATCATTATTGATACAATTGCATACAACATATCTTACTTGCATCTCTATAAATTTTACTTATCATTTGCATATACGAATCATGTACATGTGTATGTTTTCTTTCTAAACTTTACTTTCTATTTCTTTGATATACTCATAACATATCCTTTTTCTTTTCTATAATTGTACTCATACATGTCGTTGCTTATTTTAGTTAATCATTTCTCCAAAAGTAGGAGAAATCATAAATCTAATCAATTTCGCATATACTTCTTTCTAAACAAAAATAGAATTGAAATAAAGAAATTTTAAACTTTTAAAAATACCCACTTGAACTTTTCAGGTCTTCGACGAAGGGTGTTACTTCGAATTTCTCTCCAAATCTCTATCATCAAGAAATAAAGTTGTTTATGAATTTGCTTTATCAAATAAAACTCGAGAATAGTTTCGAAATAGAATTTCTTACAATTGGATTTTCCAAATCTCCCAAAATCCTTCTTCCCGAAATTTCCTTTTTCCTCGCTTCAATCCCTTCCTTAACCTTCAAGAAATATATCGCTCACTTTAAACGAAGGAGGAGAAGAAATTTATAGGAAAATCTAAAAGAAATTTCAACAAACCTTTTTCCTTATTTTTCCTCGGTCGTTTCTTCCTTTCGTTGCAAAATTCTCTCCAACCTTTGTTCCTATTATCAAGTCAGGATCATACAATGCTTCCTTATGTTTGACCTAACAAATTTCCCAGATTCGGACGTCAACAATATCTCCAATTGGCCAAATATAACACATTGGAGGGCTACAATATCACATGCATTCGTGGTAATATATCAAAGTTTCGGCCATTGGATTGATGTTTTCTCAAGGTTCGTTGCCTCTTGTTCTAATGGAAATTGACAATAATGTCAGACCGCTTTTACATGGATCAACTCATCCCTCTAAAAGGATCACTCAAAGCCTTCTGTTCCCCGATTTGAGCAACCCAAGCATCATGGACTCATTGCAATATGTCAGATCTTGCCTTGGAGTTGTCTTGCTGTTCTCTGAGCTCGTCTATTCTCCTATTTAGCCAATTTAAGTAAAATCAGGCATTGGTTTAGTTTTAAATTTCATTGAGTTGCTTGCTTTGGATTACGATTTGTGCTTGATTACACCGGGATTTTCATGATGCCAACAAAAAATTTCCAATTTGCTGCATGGATGTAGTGAACACTAGTTTTCTGATTAAGAAAATGACAACATGAGAAAAATCAAGGTGCAGATACATGATATGCTTATTACCATTTTAAAAACAAGAGAAGGTAATATTGTCAATGCCACATCGATACAAACAAAAAGAAAAGAGCCAATCAAATCCTGTCTCTCCTGTTATACTGGACTGAAATCCACAAATCTATTTTATACCAAGTGAAGATTTTATAGAATAGAAAATGTTTAACTTGATAGCATACTGCTCCATTATAAATCCAAAAAATATGTAGTAGCAGATGTTGTTTACATTTACGAAAATGCCCGTTCTTGATTAAAGCTAAAAATTTTCAACTAACCTCATCATACTCGTCTTTTTTGCTTTGAATGGTGTCTTTGCATCTGAATTCTTTGGATTATACTTTGTTACTAATAGTTCAGTAAAATTGAAGGGATTTTCAGTATTCTTTCTACAGCATTGAACTGAACTTTTATTTTTTATTCTCTATCGCAGTTGCTTATATTTAAATCTGTACTGTGTAGGTGCCCTTTGGATATACAAGAAAAGATGTGCTCCTAATTGGTGTTGGTCTTACTGTAGCAGGTGTTGGTCTGAAGAGTGGTTTGGAGGTTTTTGCTGCTTTTATTTCCTCAATTCTGTATCTTTGCACTTGCTAGTCCTGTACCATCTTCAGTCTCCTCTTCTTGATAACTGGTTCATTCAACTCTTTGTCTTCTTACTTTATTTTCCAGTTTGCCGGAGTAGATCCCTTACAGTCTGGGAATGTAGTGCAGTTGGTGTTAGTCTTGGGACTAACTGTTGGATGGATTTTTACTTACATCTTTAGGGTATCAAACAAAGACATGACTTATGCCCAACAATTAAGAGACTACGAGAACAAAGTGATGGAGGTTAGTATATCAACTTGCAAGCTGGAACAGTTTCCAATAATTGCTCTCTTTCATTAGATGAAATCAGACTGACTGACTGAATATTACTTTCAGAATAGAGTTCTGTTTATGCAAAAATTATGCAAAAGTTTTTTTTAGTGTATTGGCATGTTTTATCAATCATATAAGGAATCTAGGACCCTAATAAGCATGGGCTATTACATTATCTAGGTCCCTAATAACAACAACAACAACATCAAGCCTTTATCCCACTACGTGGGGTCGGCTACATGAATCCCCGAAATAGGGAAATACTTGGTGAAACCACCTTGTGTAAATTATCTAGGTCCCTAATCTAGAAAATTATTAAATGTGGAGCCAAAATTTTTAGTCATTGAAATAGTTGCTTATTTCAATAGCACGAAAGTCCTAAATGAAATCTACTACAAAATCCTAAATGGAGACTACCTTAATGTCCTAAATAGAGTTATTATTAAAGTTTGCAATGGAATCTACAAAAATTTTTAGGCAAAATCGGACAATATTTTGATAGTTAAGAGTTTGGGCTATTACATTTTCCCTCTTAGTTAACACAAAAAGTAATATCTTTATTTTTATTCATATGAAATGTTATATCTCCATAACTTTTTTTAAAGCATAGTGAAATATTTGATCTGTACGTTGTATGCACAGGTGAATCTCATCGAAAAATGTATGTATCTTATGTTTGAAATATTTGGTGTGATTATTCTCTTATCTTCGTTAATTTTTGCTTGAAGTTTTATCCTTATTCATATAACTAATATCAAAGCTTTTGGTCTAAGAAACTTTCATATCTGATCATAGAGGATGGGAAGATCAAAATCGTAAGTTCGATAATCGGAATTTTGATTTCTAGGAGATGCAGATGACAAACTATCTGTATTAAAAACCTTGCTAACTACTGAAGGGAGTAAAGTTACTTTCATTCAATTAAGAAAATTGAGAGTTAATTAGCAGATAATCTCTTGTATTCGTTAACCTATCACTTATTATGAACTTCGACTGTAACATCCTTAATGAGATGACAATAATAGGTGTTATGAAGGTGCTCTTCGATATATATGAAAGTTCTCTGCAATTAATAGGGTACATATCATGCATAAGTTTTTCAATCGTAGAATATTAAAACGTGTTTCAATTATCAATCACATCAATGCATTCAACTCAATCACTAGGCAGATAAACTTTATAAAAATCAAGTTTAATGATGAGATTGATGTTTTGAGCTTTCTCTCATCATTACTGGGAGAATGAAATATCTTTGTAACAGTTGTCAGCAGTTCCTATCGATTTTATGTAATGAAGCTTAATGATGTCAGATATTTTATCCTTATAGTTAAGATATTAGACGACACAAGAAAGGTGAAAGTATGTCATCTTTTGCTTTAAATATTAACAATAGGAACATGTTTCAATATGTTGGTAATAACAAATGGTGAGGCAAGTTGAAATCTTATGACAAGAATTATCAATCAAATCACAATAGTTGCATATCTAAGGAGCCCAAGTGGATACTATCATTGTGTTAAATTATGGTCATATAATAAAAAAATGCATAATAAAGAAGTATGAATAAAGCCAAATGCCAAAATATTTGGCAATGAATATCACTGTGTAAGATATTATACTCAGTGCAAACACTCTAATGGAGATATGTATTAAACTCAGGTATGTCTTTCCATTATTTATTTAATAAATATCTAATAAAAATTTATTGCACATGTTATTATGTCAAAGTATTCCTTGTTAATAATGAGCCCTTAAATATTATGGGCATTATAGATGGGATAATCAAGAAAACAAGTGGGGGCACTTGGAAGCTGAATAAGGTAAGTGGGGGCACTTGGAAGCTGAATTAGGTCATGCATATCCTTGCTTAAGAGAAAACTTAATCTCCATTGGACATCTAGCTATAGATGGATGTTATGCCACTTTCAACGATGATACTTATAAAGTGACAAAATGTACTTTGGTAATTTCTGGAGGCAACAAGAAATGCATTATTCACACCACCACCAACATAAAAATAATGGGACCTGCCATTAATATTGAGGCATGTTTAATTATATGGTTTCAAAGCCTAGGCCATATCAGAGAATGGCTTAAAGATTATTCATTGCAGAAGGAATTCTCAAGTTCAAAATACATTGAAAATTATATAAAAACATTAAATCTTTATCCCAAAATTATATAAAAACATTAATTCTTTATCCCACTACTTGGGCTCGACTATATGAATCATTTTTCACTATTTTGTTAAAGTATATATTTATTTTGCTAAAAGTAATCTGATATGTTTCCCACTTTTAGGAAGTGAAAGAGCTTGGTGAAAAATAAAAATGGAGATAAATCAAGTGCCTAAGATTTGAGAGTTATGAGGAGTATCACTATCGGATTTAAAACTTTCTATACTAATAATGAGATTCATATAGAGAGAACTGTCACAAAAACTCCAAAAAAATGGATTAGTTGAGATGATGAATAGAGTTCTTACCGAACATGCAAATAGCATTGTTGTTGTGTTTTTTTCGCATCGACCTTGTCCCGATCGAGCTGATTCGAGCCTGACTGAGCTCGATCGAGCGCCCCAGTTGAATGCAAAATAACCCGAATTGAGCTTCAATTTAATCAGATTAAGCTCAATTTTCTAAAATTAAACTCAAATCGACCGAGATCTGTCACGACCCGGTCCGTCTAGCCCGAAATAACGAGTCGAGAACAGTCAGTCGTAAGGAAAACACATATAATATAAATCATAACAATTTCATTGACTTTTAATAAAATGACATAAACTTCATCATCATCCATACATAATAAGAAAGAGCCACTAAAACATCAAACAAAAAGTTTTCCAAAAGTTTCTTCTAAATCACAACCACTAAAAACATAAACACAAACTCCAATAGACTCTTCATTACAATCCACTGACTCATACACATAACAGAAAATATAAAACATTTCTTTCTGAGGTCCTCTACAACGGTAGGTGTACTGTCATCTCGCTGCCATCACTTCTTAGATGGTTCTCCTGAAAAAGATTCCCACAAGCAGGGGTGAGCTTACTCGCTCAGCAGGTAATTCATATTTCTCATAAAAATTTACATAAAACCAAAATAAAATATTTTTTTTTCATAAGAAAACTTTAAACGACGGTTAATATTGCATAAGTTCATAACATTTCTGTATAATTTTTTTTTTTCATAAATTTTCCTCAATCATAAACCTTTTATATAATCTTTCCTTAAACATAAACTTTCATTTTGTTTACAAAATATACATAAAACATAATATGTATAATGTTTACTATATTACTTGTCTCGGAGGTGTCCATTGAGTTTGTACTGATCAGATACACATTTTCATATCATTTGGCCATTACTTTACCATTGACTCTGATGAGCCCCTTTACCATTTGGCTCTGTCGAGCTTCTTTACCATTTGGGCACTTCGCATCAATATGCACAGTTTCATATCTATTTTTCAGTCAATCATATGCTTAATGAAAAATAATCATATTTCATAAGTCATTTGCTCAAAACATGAAAACCACGAATAACTTGTATTTTATTAATCTATTGCAATATAAAAACATTATACTAATAAGTCATTTGAAAGATAAAATTCATAAACCATCTGAATGTTAAAACCTTAAACATTTGTAATTGAATAAAAATGAAGGCAAAACAATACATGAAATTTTTATGATAAATATGAGTACCTACCTTAACACAAGCACAGTACTTCCTCAAAGTGTCGCTTTGACATGCTTCGCTCCCCTTAAAGATCACAACATAAAAATCACATAAAATAAGTGTCAACTAAAATTCTTCCTTAAAACTTTAATAAAAATCCAAATTGTCTAAACTTTTCGGTTCTCATTAATTCGACCCTTACGACACTTAATGAAATTTACATAATTTAATCTTAAATTTCGGATTTATTAAAAAATCCCTAATTTTTGGAAACCCTAAATCATCAATTTCATCAAACTAATACGCCAAAATTGTCCCTAAACATATTTTAATAATTACCTTAATCATTTTCGAATTTACTAAATTATAAAATTATGAAAATTTAAATTATTACAAAAACTCAAAATTTTGCTTTAGAAACATTCCTAGGACCCATAGAAATCGTTTTTGTAAAAGCGCCTTAAGGGATTTCAATTTTAGGTAAAAACCTTAATATTCAATTCTCAAAAATTCTTGAAGAAAACTTCATTTCTATCGTTAAAATACCTTCCTAAACTTTTCCTAATGATTTCATAAAGAAATTTTGAAAGAAAATAACTTTTTTTTTGAAAAATCCTAAAATTTCCTTTCCAAATATCTTGAGAATGAGAGGGATTCGCTTCAAATAAAACATGCCTTAATATTCCCCTTGTCTTCCTCTTTGATTTCCACTAGTTTTCTCGCCGGAGATGTGCCCATCGCCTGCCCGTTAGCCCTAGCCGTCTACTCCTTTCTCGGTTTGGCCGAACAAAATGAATTAATGGGGGAGGAGGGTTTCAGTTTTGTCATTTTAGGGAGATGGGTATTGTCAAAGACCGCTATGCCCTCACTTAAACAATCCAGGCTTCAATAATCACTAAGGGTATTCTAGGTATTTAGAGACTTTTATTAAATTTTATTTCTAAATTAAGCAAAATTAGATATAAGTTTTATATATCAAATCGATCAGAATTTTACGTAGAAATTTATAAAATTACTTCTGTCGAAATCCGTTAACTTTGAATTTTTCACTTAAATTTCGTCGCAACGCATCAAAATGCGCGCGACACCAACGATTGTCGATTTTGGGTTTTACAAGATCGACCCAAATCGGTCCAAATCGAACCCAGTTTCCTCATCAAACCAATTTCGATTTAATCGACGCTGAATCAAGCTCAATTTCATACAATTTTGCCCAATCAGATCCGAATCGACCCAAATCGATTTTGATTGAGACTAATTTGACCTCAATTTCAGCCCATTCTCCAA